TGTCATAAATATAATTTTTAAAATAATACATGAATAATAGTAATACACTATTAATGACACCGGGATGTTTTGAATAATTTTTTTTAGGGTTCATACAAATTTTGATCTTTTAAGTTTCAAATCATAGGTTTTGGTCCTCAAGTTTTTTTATTTATTTATAACATTAATTCTATAATTTAACAAAAACTTGAATCATTTTGCTCTTTGAAAGACCAAAACCTATGGTTTGAAACTTGATGGACTAAAACTAAAATGAGGGCAAACTTCACGGACCAAAGATTATATTAGCCTCTTTTTTTAACATGTAATTAAGTAGTGACTGATAGGGCAATATATAAATTGAAATGTGAGGAAGATTTTAAATTTCAAGGCTTCTCCATATACACATTTGAAATGGGAAAAATAATAATTAACATCCAGTAATCTCATCAATAAAGCATTGATGTTGTCATGATTACAGGAAAAATTTAAATGAAACAAGTGCATATATATATATATATGTATATAGTAAACAAAATTACATTGAACAAGTTCTAGCCTTGTAATCCGTCTGTTAAATCCTGGACAAATTTGGATCATATATCCTGATGATTCAATATTTGATGAGCAGATATATATACATGGAATCAAATAATCCATTCGCCACAGGTTTCTCGTTCTACACTGCGACAGCTTCCTCTTCTGAGGGCTGCTTCAGCCACAGTAACTTCACCAGCCAGCCAATGTTTTCTGATCAGCCCCCTCCAAATCAAAGGAATGACGACAAAAGAAAACAAACTCGCAGGTTATTATATCTTACAGCTTATGAACTACTGAACTGTTGTATGTATTTAATTTATGTCTTGTTTATTCTGTTACTTGTTAGTTATATATTAATATTCTAGTTTTTCCTATTATTACAGCAACGGGAGCGAAGAAAATAATAATAACAATAGGAATGAAAAGCGTGGTCGAAGTAATAATCAACGTAAAACTTCTGAGTACCTGGGAGTTAGCAGGTCCGATATAACTTATTCTCTTGATTCATGTTCATGCACGTTCCAAATTTTGTCCAGTTTACAGCATAACTGAAAGGTATAAAACCATATTCTGGACACGCACATATAGGCAAGCAGGTCGTTATGAAGCATTTATATGGGACAGCAGCGTTCTTAAACCAGGAGACAAAAGGAAATCTGCAGGTACGAATGAACTATTATTACTGCACCTAAATATTACAATTAGCTAGGCTCTTCATATGTAAAATACAGCTATTAGGCTCTTCACGTATTCTTCAATATAATTATTTTCTCTTGAATGAACTTGCTAACGTAACCCTTCCATGTATGTTTGCTTGCCTTTCGAGTATCTGATATCAAGCAGCTACAGTGTATCTGGGTACGTAATTTCTTCTTCATTATATATAACATCCAGCTTAGTGAAATAACGAGGATGCGAAACCAATTAGTCAAGTTTCTATATACTACCTCCGGTCCTATTTATAAGACCTCTTTTGTATATTACAAACGAGATCTTATAATTAGGACCGGAGATAGTATATTGTTTTAACACAGCGTGGGACACTTTGAGATAAGAAAACCTTCACGTCTTTGTTTTTATTGGGGCAGGTGGGTTCGAGAATGAAATAGACGCAGCAAAAGCGCGCGACTTGTTTGCCATCAAAATCTGGGGCAATTCCGCTCGTACAAATTTTCCTGTATGTGATTGACAAATCTTCGTGATCGAATATCAATTGAAATTAGCTAGCTTCCATATGTTTCATGACGACTAACACACACACGCTGTTGCAGCCTAGTACGTACGGGAAAGAGCTCCTAGAAATGAAGGATATGAGCAGAGAGGAGTGCATTGCTGCTATTAGAAAGTAAGTTTTCGGTCAATCATCAAAGAAAGACAACATATGTATTAGTTTGAAATCCATCAATTGTCTGGAGATTGAAGCTAGCTTGAGCCTTTTGATAATAATATTGTATTAATTAAATCCCAAACTTGACGCCGTCCTACTCAGGATGAGTAATGATGATAGGATGAAGAGGATGGCTAGTAAGGGCCTCTCAGTTTATCGTGGAGTCTACAGGTTTGCATTTCAAAACTCTCAAGTCTCCCATATTTGCCTTCTCTTTAATTCTCTCCAATATATATACATATACATGTATCATTGGACACACACACAATATTCCTGAAATAGGATCCCAGAGCAGAATCGATGGCAAGCCAGGGTAGGTAAAGGCAAAAACCTACGAGGCCTTTACGTGGGCACCTTTGGTGAGTTCATAAATGGATTCAAGTTCTGTAACCTACATGTGAATTCCTTTATACATGTGTGTATGATTTAAGTGTACTGTTGGTATTTTCTGGGTGTACGTAACCAGATTCGGAGGAGGAGGCGGCCAGAGCATTTGATATAGCGACAATAAGACTGAAGGGCCCGACCGCCGCCACAAACTTAAATTTCGACCGGCAATCTTATGATATCGAAAGCATTCTTAAAAGTACTAAGATTCCAATCGGAAAGGGTGCTTCCAAGTTGATCAAGAAATGCACAGCGGATGAGATTCTTTCGCGCATCACTGACAACAATCCAGACCCACCTTCGACCAACTTCTTAGAACAGTATCATCTGATGAACCCTCACTTCGTGAACACTGACCCTGTTGTCTCTTGGGAAGTTGCTGATTCAGTGAATGAGTTTGGAGTTCCGATTGGCGATCCATTCGGAGAACAAAACCAGACGGTGGCGAATAGCGAAACGTTTGTGTATGGGGATAGTAATGACCCGATGAGATTCCGACCAGATGGGTTTTCGGAGTTTCCTATAGAGGTGGAAGACAATACAGAATCTCTATGGAATGAAGTGTATGGTGAATCTCTAATGGACCATTTGCTGAGCGCAAGTGATTCATTGAATGAGTTTGAGAAAGGTCTTGATTCTATGGCGGATATCGACTGGATTTTCGCTGAGGAGGAGCCTCAAGAACCTGCTGGTGGGATCAACCAGACCACTAAATGAATGAGCTTCATAATAAGTCACCCTAATATTATGTTTTTCTTTTTTGTAAATACTGATGCCTTGGAAACTTGAAATACTACCTCCAGTCCTTAATATAAAATCTTGTTTGATTTTTATTTTGGTTCTAAATATAAAATTTTAGTTTATTTCGTCTCTCATATTTATACTTTTTTTTCTCAAGATAATCCTCCTAATAATAGTAATTCTAGCCAATACACTTAATTAGTAAGGATATTTTAGAAAAGACAACACATATTTATTATAAATAGCTAACTTATAACTTATTTCATTAATTTTTTCAAATTAGTCAACTAACTTTTATAATTAAGACGAGAAATAGTATAATGTAGGGTGGTTAAAATAAACAGAAGTATCCCTCTGTGTATGTCTAATAAGAGTGCTTTAATTTCTTCTGGTTTAAAAAATTGGCTAATAAAGAATGCAATTTTAGTCATCTAATTTAATACTACTATAAGACTTTCAGATTGAAATATTAGGTAAGGTTTTTTTTTTGTCAAAGAAATATTAGGTAAAGTTAAATAAACTAGAGTATATTTCTATGGTATATTATTTATTTGGATTAAATGATTCTCAAAATTTATGAGTTTTAATTAGAAATAAGTAATTATCAACCTCAGTTAATATCTCTATACCATTCGTTGGCAAAATTAATTGACATGCTATATTTAAAAAAAAAAAATTTCACTGGTCTGCTATTTAAAAAACTATCTGGTTGAGATACAATTCTTTCTTTCTTTTTTTTACCTTGGGTGAGATACAATTCGAAGTTATAAGATGGTAGGTAATTAAACTAGCTAGCTCGCCGACTTCAGTTTAAATATAATATAGTGCTGTAAATCAACAGATCCATCTTGAGCGTAACACTGTTTTGAATGTAATGCTAAATTTAAACGTACGTTTTGCCATTATACTCGGCATACATACAATTTTTCAGTATATATAGTTGGGGGGGGGTGTTTAACTATATCTAAAACTAAACCTAAAAATGTATGACCTTGATCACATCAACCGTAATGGACTACTGTGAGACTAATTAAACCACGGACGGTAAAAATAACCAACTTTTAATCTCTGCAGTGGGTATTTATGGCAACAGACACGTAAGGCTAAACACAATATTACTTTCAGTCCTGATTATAATTAGGACCGGAGGTGATATAAACGAGCAACATTATTGGATCGAGGTACCAGGCTCTGTTGTACGTAGAATCCGATCTACTGGTACAATTTCTGCAGAACTGATGATTAAATTGATATTGTTCTTCTCTTTCGAAGAGAGAGATTAAATATTGATATTTGCAACCTTTTTTCATTTAAGGTACGTAATAATAACCCTTCATTCAAAGATGACTTTAGTTTGACGAGACAATAAAATTCCTCATAGATATTTCTTGGCACAAAAATTTGCTGAATATAACCAAATATTCATCCACCTAACTAATTAAGTTGAAATGGCTGAAGTAATGCTCAAAATATATTGCTAATTCACTTCACGTAACTTTGGTTTGAGACGTCCTTCAATTCTTCAAATAGCCAAACAATATGCTTGGTCATCAACCATGTCCGCTCATTTTCTTTATTTCTCCTCAACAGTTGATTTCATGATTCATTCTTATTTTGATTTGACTATAAAATATATATATATATATATATATATATATATATTGAAACAGATTTGTAACCATCGCTGGCAAATAGATAATTAATTCTCATGCAATGCAGGATTCGTCACCTCCTTATCAGTCACTTCCCAATTATGACAGTGTTCCAGTTTCTGATTTCGCCGCGTACTCGGACTTCACCAAGTAACTATCACTTGACATGGCATATTGCTTTGTATTTGTGCTTGTAATTACGGGGATCCTTATTACAACCAACGAAACGCAGTCCTCCAAAGAAAATTAACTAGGTCACGATCCAATGACAGAGAGAGCTTATGCACATCGTAAAGGAAACAGGAAAGGCTAAAAATTAGAATAGGTTGTTCGGGCAACTTTTCGAATAAGTAGTCATCAAAGTTCACGTTGCAACAAACTCCCTTGATAATTAAGTGACATTTTACAACCTGAATCAATCATCCGCTCATAAATGAAAACTATTTGACTGAATGAAACCCACCCCCCACCCCCAAACCAAAAAAAAAAAACGCAAACTGTAGTTAGGTATACATAGGAATACTATATCTTTTAACATAAGAATAAGAATAGATCACCAACTCTTGCTCCTCTGTCGTCGAGGAAAATCCAGGTTGCCACCTGACTGGCAAATAGAAGACAGGGAAACCCAGCTCAATGTTGAGGCTGCCAAATTCTCTACTTAATTGCTGCTAATACTATTCTTCATATATACACTACTGCAACTGCCAGCTGCTTGCTTCACAGCTCCATCTCCAAATGATTTGAGTGCAGAGGTGCTGCATCGCAATTTAATCAAACTTGATTTTAGTTTCACATCTACCTTCTCCAGCCTATTCTTACATGCTTCGTTAAAATGAATACCTCTGTAAGTTAATATTTGGCGTTTGCAGATTTATTTCAGTCCAGCATTATACCATTCAGATTATTAATTAAAAAGGTTATCAACAGCGCATTTCTAAGGATCCTCTTTGATTTCAGTAAAGACAATTTCAACCCCAACTAGAGAGAGCTCTGTATATTTGCAAAGAATATAAAATGAGACACATTATTCACAACTTGTGAATAACTACATCTCCTCTTGTTTTTAATGCTTTATATGATTATCTACTGAATCCCAGGCCAATGAGACCAAGAACCATGGCAGACTGCAGTTCAAAAAAAGTAGCGCAGAACTTGTCTTCCGGCAGGAGGCATATGCAGTAGTAGTTTAACTCTTGACATACCTGAATTTGCCAACGAGTCATAACTCAAAAGAGAGCTTTCTGGGGTCATGAAATTACGGTTCTCTTCCTCCCTCCCCCAAATTGGTTGGTTAAATGCATCGAATTGCCACTGATGTTGATATTGCTGTCTGTTTCCATTGACTAGAACTTCCTGCCACACTGGAGGTGTAACCATGTCGGGAAAGTTGCAGTCTGCTCGAGATGCACCCTACAAGTAGCAAGGGCGGATATCAAACACTTACTCTCAACTCCACGTACAAATCCCTTCGCTAATTCAAGATCGAGGAGCAGGGACTTCAATTTAACAAAAAATTTGCCAATGCATTTGAAATCAGGACAGATTTAGGCAATCAATAGCATTGTGTTTATCGATCTGCCCTGCTTATTTCTACTATTTTTTAACTGGTATGTCTGACAGAATGTCATGACTGACTAGAAATCACGCCTTCCACAGTCCTCATGTTCAAGTTCACTAAGTATTTGGGCAAGGATATATAAAATAGATAGATAGATGCATTCAAAGAGGGGCATAGTAACACTTTTACTGATCACTGACTAGTGAATGCATAAAGTTGAGCACTTGAAAAAGGAACATCTCAGAAAGAAATCTAGTCCACTCATATCAGGATCACATGATTCTGTTTCCCAATCTGTCAATTTTAAACTTCGAAAGTTTATTTGTGGATGGCACCAATACCAGCAGGCCTGAGTGATGAGAAAGAGATGTTATCTAGCATCCCTCAAATATGCATTCAAAACCAAAGAGTTCAGCGTGCTCCAAAGCCACAAACGGATACATAGCTTACACATAGCTGTGAATTCATGAAAGAAAATGGAAATTCAGATATGGGATCAATTTCAAATTACTTACTTCCGTAGCCAATATGCTGTCAAGATCAAGATCGATTCTTGGGTTAACTGCTGCCAGTTTCATTGACAAGAACTGAAGCCAGAGCTCAATTCAATCAGAAAAAGTACGAGTTGGTGAAAGATAACTGAAATATAACTGTATTGTGTTTCAATTTAATTTGCAATTGATATGCTAAGGAAAACGAATTTAACAAGATATTATTACCATAAAACATGACAAATGAACAGGGCCTCTTTTACAAATTAGTAAGCCACATCATATTTATATCGAGAACCGCACTAGCAACTGTGGCCTTTTGATGAATTTAAACCAATCATTAAATGTCTGGGATGTGAAAGTCTAACCTCCACTTGGCGTTGAAGAGATTGAACATGGTTGATGATTTCATCCAGAACCAATGCTGTTCCTGAAATCTGTGGAGACTGTCGTGTCAGATAACGCGTGGCCTTAGAGAGCAGCTATATGGAGAAAATCTTAAACAATTATCTGCTAGCTCAGAGTGTCCAACAAATTTAGGTTACTCAACTCAACATAAGAAAATTCCAGTTTATTTATGTAACTGGCCAATTTATGCAAGAGTAATGGAAAATTGTTCCAAGGAAAACGGTTTTCAAGCAGATAACAGTTTAGAGCAGATTTTTTCCCTTGATCGAGAAAGATCCGCAAACGAGAATAATTAAAACAGCAGCACCATCAGAACAGGTACGTGGGAAATTTTCTTGCATCGCTGTCAAGCGCACCCATCCCCACAAATGCATTTATTTATCGACCTATTTAGTCATCCTGTTTAATATGCCTACCAACTCGAAAGGATGGTGATACCATCACCGTCACAGCATAGATTAAAATTTTACTCCCGTGGAGAGCCCCAGGACACTCGTTTTCAACATACCTATTCTACGTGACGTGTCTCCCAGTTATGGAAGCACTGTCCGTCCTTTTGTCTCTTCAACAAGCCATGAAGCTAGAGATTAAAAACTGACAAGAAGAGAGAAGACCAAAATCCAGCACACACATGACGTATATTTTTTGTCCTATATTAAGAAGGCTCCGAAGGAATGACTGTTTGAGGGTACCGTTTTGTCCCGGTTAATGGACGATCCGTGCCAACCGCACTAATTATATAGGCTATATAGTTTTTCTTGTGATAATTATGTGGTTGGATGATTATGATCCGCTCTTGCCAATGAAAACAATTTCAATATAAAGATACAACGCAAAAAAGACAAATATTTCAATGAAGAAAAAAGGTACAGGCATGAAAATGTAAGAGTAAATATGCTATTTGGTCCTAAAACTTATTTATTTACATATTTTACTTGCTTGAATAATAGATTTTTTTTTATCGGAATTACATATGGGTTCCATATACAAGTTTTAATAAATAAAAAATATTAATTATAATTTAAAAATAATATAATCTTGTATGCATTTTTCTATATGCTGATATCCACATTTTTTCTATATGCATCTTCATTCCTTTTTGTAACTGGCCATGGTGATTTTTTTTCCCCTTTTGCTCGGGGCATCCGTTACTTTTCTTGATATAAAAGCAACCACTTTTTTTTTTTTTAGGGAAAAAAAGTAATCACATCACAATAACCATAGTAGAAAAGCTTACGGTGAATTTGTCGATTTGATTTTAACAATTAAGTTACTATTTAAAAATAATAAAAAAATTGCCCCTTTTCACTCATTCTTACTTATGATTTTTTATTCTATTCGATCCAGAAAATATATGATTTCCAATTCCAATCAATGGTAATAAGATACAAAATAACACATGTCAATATTTTATACACAAGAAATATACCAGGCTTGGGTTGGTAGATATCATATTTTTTTTGCCAACTGAAAGATAGATATCATATAATGCAGCTAGTTTCCTCGCTTATTTCCTTTCGAAAAAAAAAAAAAACTTTGTTTGGACATCAATGAAGCATTATTTTTTTAACAATTTTCTATTAATTGTAAAAAATAGAAATTAAAACTTAATATGAAGTTTCACAAAAAAAAAAATATGAAGAAATCTATCTTACTCAAATAAAATTGCGATATGCCAATAAAATCATGATAAATTAATTATAGCTACCCAGGCACATATCACGCCTACCTTACTGCAGCCGGGACCAGCTCTTGTAAAAGCTTCATGCGAGCATTGATTTTCTCTCTCCTGGCCTACACAATTGTCAATTAAAATCATAATTAATTAAACAAAGCTTTTGTAACTAAACATTGATTAGTGGTTAGCAGGTTACCCTTTCTGCTAAGCTATGGCTGTCTGTAGCTTGGCCGCGACGAGCTCGAACATGGACGTATGGAAGTTTATCACGGTCTCCGGATGTTTCGTCGACGACGCTTTTACTCTTCTTCGAGGACTCTTTATCCTGTATTTTATATATTTGGTCATTATTCCATGTTTTAAGCACCAGATCATCGAAAGCAGAAACCCTAGTTATTGGTTGGTTGCAATTATGTTTCCAAGTACCTTCTTCTCTCGTTCCTTCCTCTTTGCGGCCCTTTCGTTCTTGTGCTCAATCGAGGGGTTAGAAGGGATAACAGGGGTTGGCTTAGGATTTGAATCGGTTTCCGGGGGTTCATGCTTCACTCTGTTTAAATTTGCTCCTGGACTAAGCGGGGCCAAGTTGGGCTCCTCCGGTGGCGAGTTCTCTTCGGCAAACACGGAAAACTTGGCAACGCGCTCGATCAAAGCACTGTTAGAAGGGAGTGTTGAAGTGCCACTGGAAGAGTGAAGTATGTGGGGTTTCTGATCGTTGATATGGCACAAGGGTTGTTCCCCGTAGGTGGGGAAAGCCGCGGCGGTGACTCCGTCGCAGTTGGGCGAATGGAGGATCTCCTTGGCCTGCGCTGGTGGTAGTCCGAGAAGTGCAGTGAACGAGCTAATGTTTTCTGGGGCTGGGGCTATGATTCGCTCGATTTCCTCGTTGAATTGAATGGATTCAAGTGTTGCCTGATCGCGTTCACCAGCAGCAGAGAGATTGAATCCAGTGAAACCTCCTGTAGTTTGCTCCATCAGGTGGAAGTTGAACCAATCGATGATGATCCGAAATCAATTTCTGGAGTAACCGAAATGCTCAGTTACGTTGATTAATTTACCAATTTTCAAGCATTATAACGTTAAACCAGAGAATTAGCTTGATTAGGCAGCAGCGGGAGGAACAGGAGGCAAATAGACCTGAAGAGAGTGAAATGAGAATGGGAGAGGGAGGGAGAGAGCGAGAGAGAGAAAATGTTGGGAGGGAAATTTGATTATAAAAAGCGGTGAATCAATGGCGGTCAAGCCGGTGGAATTGTGGTGTGTCTCAGGAATTGCTTGACAGCCAATTGAAGTATGGCGAAAGCAACGACGGCTACGTTACGGTGGGGGTGATGCGCTAAGTTGAGGGGTAACGAGTATATTTGGCGCTAGTGGACAAAGGCTGAGGTAGTGGGGGGAGGGAGGGTAAAACGCTTCTAACAATTCTGTTCGTCCATTACCATGGTAAAACCGTAAAGGCAGCCAAATCAGGGGACCACCGAATAAAGTCCCCCATTTCGTTAACTTACTTTTCATAACCCATATTTCTTTGTCAATCAATATATACATATCAATATGGAGTTGGAAATTTGTTATGAAACAAAATTAAAAGGACAGGTTATAGCTATAGGATTAGGGGTTATTTGGATTGATCCAAAAGCGTTTTTAAAAAATATATTTTTGTAAATCGAGACAAATTTTTTTACTTATTTATTTTGTATATCGTAAAAATATTTTTAAAATTATGATTTTGTTTTTATTTAAAAAAATTTTTTTATCTCAAGTGATACAGAGGGACTGTGGGCGATAGGCGTGCTCCGGAGTCTTAGACAAAGGTTTAGGTAATAAAACAAAAGAATAATAATCTTTGTTATTATTATTGTCCCTCTCGAGCCGTTGCCAGCAGAGGCCCACTTCATTGACCTGATGGGCAACTCAACCTCTGCCTTCACATTTTCCTGCTTGGATACGTTTTCCTATTTCAGTTGTGTGTATGCTTAGTCACTGGTTTTCTGACTTTTCTCCTTTCTTCTTCCTAGCAACGTTGAGCACCACCCTTTTCAAAAGAGAAAAAAAAAAAAAAAAGGCGAAAGTTTTCAAGCAATATCGACCATGATAAGTTGATAACATTCGTGTCTTTTTTCTTTTTTTTCCGTGCCAACAATGCTCATGTTTAAACTAAAACCATTGCTTCCTTGTGACTGAAATTTATTTCCTCTTGGATCCAGAGCCTTGCTTTTGAGTACACAGAAATATGTCGTGTTTTATACAGAAAATGAAGGTTATTGAGGGGTAACAAAGAATCAAGTCCTCATGATTCGTGTAGGAAGCACGAGATGATGTTTTTATTCTTGACCAATGTGTTACTGCTTTGTTAATGCATAACTACAGGTTTTATCCGCGGGCCAATAAATAACCTCATAACACTAAGTGCAGAAGAGAGTAAACAAGTGTATGGCTATGCCAATCCTATTGTGGGTATGGTGGCCTAAAAGTGAGAAAAGGGTTATTTAGAAAGTAAGACTAATTAAGAAGGAGACCAAGATGTGGAGCAAGGACCATGTACTAGTCGACCAAATTCCTGGTGCGTACCCATAAATCATGTTGCTTGCTTCTGCTAAATTGAGCCCCTGCCATATGCCATTTCCGATGTGTTTCTGATGCTACGCTTCTAAAGCACTTAAAAAGCGACGTCCGGCAAAACAATGAGGCCTTAAAACCAAATACATAACATGATAATTCTTCTGACAATCTCTGTGATTACTGATCAAGGCCCCACCACTCATAAACCCAAAGTATACCGTCCTTCGCCATTAAACCCTGCTTTAATCACATGCATGTCTCCCATTTCTACACTCCTCTCTATGTTGATCTCCTCCCTTTACTTTTTCACGCCCTTTTTATTTTATCATAGCAGGTGTAAAATAGTCAGCCTATTGCAAGCAGAAGTTCAGAAAGAAAATCTATCCCAAAAAATTAGTCCATTTAGTGGGAAAATCCCTTCAACTTGCATAAATCAATAGTCACTGGCGACGACTTGAAATAGTGACAGGGGGCTGGGAGAAGCTTATTGAAGGTGGGGAAGCTAACCGTTGGGAGAAACTGAATGAGAATACAATTCTGCCCCTGATGAAAAGGCTGAATGAAATAAACAGGACGTCCCTTTCTGGTTTCCTCAATAATCTTTTATTCCTTCCAAATTCTTCGTCTTCCTGCTGTTCTTCTCCGGGGCTGTGAAATAATGATCCGTCTGCAGTGAGAAATGAAGATGGAAAGTTGTGTTCACATTATTTCGCCCACATTCTCCTTTGTTGTTTGTGATAAGCTTTTTAAGAGAAGAATTGGCTGTGTGCCCACCTCCCTTTGTCTCTGTCTTCTCATACCAATTTCAACTAAGTCACTGTACGTGCTTCTTTGGTAAATTCTCACAATCATTTTAAAAAAGGAAAACTCTTTTATGTTTTAACTTTTAAGGCACAAAACTGCTTTTGCATACTTATGAATATCTGTGCACAATCCAAATTATAAGAGGGTTATGTATAATTTATCCTTTAATGTTTTAAAGTATAACATAAAATTCAGATTATCTTTTGATTGCGAATATGAAAATCACAAGGAGCGGCATCCATCCATGGTGCAGTATCAAAGTGAAAGACAAGAGTGATATTTGCTTTCAGTCTGATATGGAAACCCAAAAGAAACGAAAGAATAACATGGAGACCTGGAAAAAAGAAAAGAAAAGAAAGCAAAGAAGGAAAGGGAAAGATAATAGTCACGCGTCGTGGGCCCCACGATCAAAGGATACAATCAGGAAGACCCCAAGAACCTGATTGATATCCCAACTCTGAAGAATTGAATTCCAACGATTCTGTTGCATTGCACCAGAAAGAAATAAAGGAGGAAGGAAGGAACCAAACAAGACAGCGAAAAGCCATACAAATTTTATCTGTTTGGTCGTATCGTTTCATTACATTTTGTTTCCTTTTCATTCGTCAACTTTCTCTTATTCCACCCACCCCCTCCTTCGTAGCCTCACCCTCATCATCCTACACCCCCCAACAGTTTCTCTCTCTTTTCTTTTTCGGGGGAAAAAAAACCAGAGAGAGTGAGCACATAAACTAGAACATAATAATTGCACAGCCTATAATGATTATTACTACTTCCGATTCTTAATATAAAAACTAATTGACAGTCTTAAATATAAGACCCTAGTTATTGTGTTCTAAAAAACATACATGTTGATTTTAAGGTATTTTTACCTAAATATAATTTTAATGTACGAAAGTCAACATATATTTGTTACAAAAAACTGATTTAACTAATCTTATACAAAAATCTGAGTAAAATAAATCAACCATAAATGGATATTATAAAATGCCTAAATACATGACCGATGCAAGGCATATCTAATGCCTTGCCAAATTACTAGGGAAGTCTAGGCGTCTATTCGCATCAGCTTCAAAAAACAGTTTATCATGTAAATTGTAAAATGTAAAAATGATTGTTTTAAGAAATTCGGAACAGCACAAGTGTAATTATAAAGAGTGAATAGTGAGATGACAGTAGTGGGTGGCCCGCCAAAAGTGGTCCAGAATGAATAAGACCGGCCTTCATGATAGTAGGCCCACCCAAACAAAATAACAAGCAGCACTCAAATGACCAGGCAGCTTCCCAGTTGATTTTCCTTTTACTAATAAGATTGGGTGCATCAAAAAGGATTTATCTGTCACAGTATAGTAAATTAAGATTCAAATTTTCACTAAAAAAATGTTTATATTTAGTGTTCGATAATGCTTTGAATATGATTGCCTCTAACAAAGAAAACTTATACATGGGACAAAAAAAAAAAAAACACTCCAAAGAAACTATCCACTTCCCATCAAAGGCATGCCAAACTAACATTCTCAACGCCTTCAAGTACAAGTAAATGAGCTTCTGATGAAGGGACGTTGATAGTTTGGGTATGGATGGGAATGATCTGTTAGGTTTCGGCTTTTTTCCAGTGAGAGTGGTGCTGCTTTTGAAAATGCTTCACCCGTCCACTCACCAATATATATATATATATATATATATATATATTCTACTTCCGCCCTCTGCCTCTGAAACTTTCTAACATTGAATGTGCATCATCATTGTATTATTCACCCTTAATTAGCAAGTAATCGTCTCTTATGTATCCAAATAAAAAGGCTTCCAATCCAGATTCACAGTATTCACCATTCTGGCTGGTTGCCAACATTTCTATTTCTATTGACAGTGAACTGCTCACTTTTTAACCTCATTAATACTGATTAAATTCAAATTTCCCACTAAAATGAGAGCGAAAACAGGGAGACGTACAACATAGAGCAACTTACACCCCACCTCACACATTGGTTACCAGCGCTGGTTAAGTAGTTTTGCAGGCCATTTTCCTCCATACCCAGAACAATTAACCTTTAGGATCTCCAGGAAGTGATAAATTATAAATGGCAATCCATGATGAATGTTGCCTGCAAGAATAATGATACATAGCTTTTTTATAACCACTGTTTGAAGTCTACCCTATTTTACCATGGAAAAGAAATGCTATCAGTGACTACATATGCCTTCTCGTGTTATTCATGTTCATATATAGATCACTGCCAAGAAAATTTATATTCTGATGAGATCTTGACCCAGCCTCATTCTCAAGTCTGAGTTTATGAAAAGACGAGTGAAGTACTGAAAACTAGAAGATGAATTGCCGATTCAGGCAACTTTGTAGTAAAAGGAGTAAAAGAAATCCCTTATTCAAATGTAGAAATTGAATTAAACGATGAATAAGGAATTTTAAAGTAGGCATTTTCTTGTTCGATTATTTCATCGCTTAATCTTTTTTGCATTGTAGCTGACAGTCAAAATATTTGGCACAATATCAAAAGATTTGTGCTTTCGGAAATCAAAAGTTTTCTTGGTAAATTGTTTGAGCATGTCTCCAGAAAAATCCTACATGATTTCCCAGTCGTGGTTTTGCAGTTAGACAATAATCTATGATCATAGATATCAACAGTTCATAAGAATCTGGTATGTGCCACAGGATTTCGGGTACTGTTCTACGATCCGTTTCCACCAAACTTGCCCCATGATGACAGGTCTGGAGGCTGACATGAGGAAGATGATTTTCAAACTCTAGGACAAATTAGGAAAATTGCAGCAGTCATTCGCCCCCATTACTGTATCTTCTCAAATATAACCAATCCAGCCAATTGATTAAAAATAAATGACCCAGTATAGTCAGAATCTTATTGATGTACACGGACACATCCCCCCCCCCTTTTTTGGCCCCCGAAGAAACGTCTGATCAAAAGTCAACTGCAATCTCGATGGTTGAAAAAGTACAACAAGATGAGGGTAACATGCAAGACTTTTATTTACATTCAACTACAAGATCCATCCATAACTGGACAAGTAAATTGATCCCATAAAATTTCAAGTATAATGACTCTAAAAGTTTCTAAATCCAAGCTAACTTAAATAGTTAACTTTTACAGGAGACCAAGTGCTAAGGTATCACCGAACGGTGCCAATCACACATTCTGGAAGGATTACAAAAATTTCCTAGAACTCAAAAAGGGTAGACCGGACATCCTCAAACTTGAAATTGTGAAATAGCATTATTCCTGCAGCGATAATCCTGCAGGAAGACCTTAATCAGAAAAATCAAAATAAAATAAAGCAGTAATAATGCGATGTACACCACCATATCAAAGTTATTTGTATGGCATACCTGAAGACAACAACAGCAAGAGTCAAGAGATATAAAGCAAACTTCACTATCCGGTATTTCTTCTCAGCATTAACTACCCTAAACATTTCAGTGACATCAAGAAGATGCTGCTGTTTCGCATACCTGAATCATCATTAAAATGGCTAAATCATGATTCACGACAAAAACATGCGAGTTCTTTTGCTAAATCCTACGGATATTAAACAAAATATATGCATTTAATAATTCATTTGCAAGTTAATTAGAGCAGTTACAAATTTAGCTAAGTTTTCAGTTCTCATGATTCAGCCTAAAAAATTCAACAGCAACTGTGAATCAAGTTAGAAATTTTTAAATATTCCAAGTTTTCCACTAGCTAGATGACAATTGTTGTAGCCTAAGAAGCAAGAAGAAAATCTAAGTACAAATATCCACCATACAGCGTCATGTGATAGGCAGTGATGGGAACTGTCAAAAAGATCATGAACCAGTGCCCAGTGAGGAGGAAGAGAGCGCATAGTGCTGCCTGCCCAATAAACTCAGGAACAACGAAGTAATTGATACGGGAGGAAGCCTCATATGGGTTGACATAGTCAGCCTCCAAGTCTGTTAAGATCAGAATCTTCAGGGGGGTAAAAAGAGGAACTTCAATAAGATTCGTTGAACTCAAAACAGCCGTAATGCGCATCCTCCATATCAATGTAATAACAAAATCTAACGACAGTGAGAAATAAAACATATGGGAGAAAAGGAGATACCTGATAAAAAGTGGAGGCAAGAAGAGCAACGTTGAGGGGAAAACAAATTACAAGCCAGAAAAACAAATTCCAACCCATTTACTGACAGAGAAGAAGGCTGCCATCAGCTGATTGTCCCGGAGGGTTTTTCACTTTTCAGGGTTTCTCTTTTTTGGGCCCCAAGTGAGGGAGTTTATTAGCATCAAGTTTGGGCTTTTACTGCGTCGAATTTGATCCTCAAATGGGCCCGAAGCCCAAGCAAAGCTCTTCTGCTTCCATTTTTACATCTTGGGTAATTCTTTGGGCCTAAATCTCTCGGGTGGGCTTTGACACCATATAGCTTGGATTCACTTTTTCCCCCAGCAAGAGCCAACTATAATATAATGTCGGCAATGCATGCCAATTTATGGCGTGGCTCGGTTTTGGTTTGATGTTGAAATGCCCGCCTAATTTAATTTAAATAAAAAAAATGTTATCACGAAGATTGAAATAAATCGTATTATTTATAATTATTAAATAGTATAATTTTTAAGAAACTTTATATATAATAGATAGATATAAATTGTTTGTTGTGTATGTTTTAATACTCCCATTTTTACTTTTTTTGGGTAAAGTCTCATTCAACAAGCAATTAATTTATGTACATTATATCTAAAAGTAATGCGTGTGCATGTATACAATTTTAAAATCTTTCTAATTTTTCAAGGTTCTTTTGACAAAAAGAAGGATAGCGGATAGCGCATCATTAGCATAAAGAATCTATTTACTACATGAATATATTACTATTTTACTAGACACGTGCTTTTTTTTTAACATAAAATTTAAAATGAACTAAATTATTCATAGTAATTTTTTTTTTTTTGGTAATATAAGGAGCGGGCTCCAACCTCTACGCACACATCCAAACACACACACACACCACACGGCCAAGAGGCCGGTGGTGGTAATCATCAATATCAATATATATATAAATACTCTTCCACCAAGCCATCTCCAAAAACGGCTTAGCACTGGCTTCAGAGATGAATTACTGTTCACAAGCCATGCTCATTAAAATAAGCTTATTTCTTGGGCTTCTGTCAAGCTAATCATAATAGATGATATACATTGGGCTTTGGGTTGTGGCTCACTGTTCCGCACCTTTCTCTCAGTCCCATTTATTACGTTTTCCCTCTTCGTGAGTTTTATCATACGCCTTTCTCCGTCATTTTTTTCACATGAGGCATTACCTCTCACTTCTTCATTGCCACAGGTACTCACTTCTAAATTCAAATTTTAAATTTTATCTCCCTCCATCTCTTCAGGTCTCCTTTCAGGAGTCTCAGTGCCATTTTATCTCATTCAAAATGTTTATAATCTTCTTTTATTATTTCTTTCATTTCTGCTCTTTCCCCTTCTTCCTCTTATTTTATTTTCCTTTCGCTAATTTCACTTTTCTTTGTTGTTCTTCGGTTTGTTTTTCTTTGGCCCCTCTTATTAGGTTTTTCGATCATTTCTTGCAGTTCATCGAGGAAGGAAGAAAACAAAAACATGTATTCTGTCTCTGATTTCTTCTTATTTGCTCGAGGTAGCTCTACTATTCTGTTTGAACTCATCTCTCTCTACAACATTGATCTAAGAATGAAGAAGTTGTTCAAAGGTCTTGCCATATTGACGCAGTTAAAGCTCAACTATGATTCACATGACATATGAGTTTCTCATCTATGTATTCTCTCTAGAAGATGAAGAAGAGCAAAGGTAATATTAGCTATTTCTTCACAATCGCTGAAATTTCTTCGGATTTGTAATCAACAGGGAAAAATAAGAAGGTCTGATGCACGGTTATTGTAAAGTTTCTAAAGCACAATGAGAGAGACATCTGGTAGGCTTTCTTCACGATTTGAGTTTTTATCTTCTTTTTTTTTTTACGTCATATATATCCATTCTTCCTCTCCTCTTCTTGTTTCTGTTCTCTCCCACCATCCTTCTTCTATTTTATGTAAGTATCTTCAGAAGGTTATGCTTGCTTCAAGGTTTGATTTTTTATCTTCTCTAAAATTTTCTTCTCAACATCTTTCAAGGGTTTGCTTTCTTCGTTTGAGTTTTTAGATTAGAAGGAACAAAGAAATAAAGATGGAGGGAGGAAAGGATGAACACCAATATGAGAGGTCAAGAATGTAGATGGCTAATAGTGTGGAGATATTACGACCAAGGCAGCGGCGAAGAAGCTACAGTGAAGAAGGATGATATGAGGTGAACTAATTTCCCCTTCCCCATGTCTAGCTCCGGCAATTTTGGTTTTTGGGTTCTTCTATAGTTCTCTATCTGTTGATTGTATCTGTTCTTTGATTTTGGGTTCTTCTATTTTATAGAATTCAGATATTTAGTTTCTTTTATGTTGTAGTTCTCTATCTGTTGATTGTATATCTTGCTTTCAAGAGGGATATGTCAGGATGAACCGATCCTCCTTTACATCATGCTCTCCCATGAGATGAATATTTTGGTTGCTCAAGTTTTACCACATTAGTGATATTCGATTTCCCAAAATGTCAGAACTTGAAAGTTACGTAGATATATTATTATCAAATTTGATGTAGTGACTTAAAATGATCATTGCGTCCACACCATGATAAAGTATATAGCACTAAGATTGACTTAACTTTATTAATCTCAGTAGGTAAGGTTTTTATTGTTAAGCATGTGAAACCACATCCTTTAATTCTTTTCTTATTAATCACAACAATTCTCGCGAGTGAGGCTCTAATAATAAAATGGTGCGGATGCACATATATACCCTATAAAACAAAATGGCTGAGCTATTTAGAAGAAAGTTAAGTCATCAAAAACCGCACCCTATTGGCCTTGCATAGCTGGAAAAGCAAGACTGCTTTATTTTATCTGACCTTACTCTACTCCCTTGAACAGCTCAATTATGTTTCCTCAAGTGTGGGCACCATGTTGATTGTTTAATAAAACAAAAGCATTGTCTGAGTAACAACGACTGGAGAAAAAAATATAAAAACTGCTGAGTAGTTTTTTTTTTTTGCCAACATAAAAGTGTGAGATTGCTAAGTCATTTTTATAATATCATGACTCGATTATATTTGAAGCGTTGTCTGCATTTTTTAAGCTCATATTAAGTGTGAGATTCTATTTGAAGCTTATTTTTCTTTTCCGCCACGTTCTTATTCTTATTATGTCATTCTAATCATCTTGCTTCATTTATTTTGCTGAGCTTGGGTGTGTATTTTGTGTGGATGTGGCTCAATTTGCTTTGTGTGAAGATATGCACCGGTGGCTTTAACTATGGATTCATAAGTTTTGAAAAGAATGGATCCGTACTTTTTTTTAGTATGGATGCTATGTGTTGCAATGGGAGCTATCTAAGGTGATTATAGGATACCATTCAGAAAAAATTATACCATGCTTCAGGAGTTTCATAAGAAAATGTGTTTGGCATCATGTAAAAATTTAAACTGCATGAGGATTGAACCATAGATTTAAAGAAGATTGAACGCATGATGCTTATGACTTTGCTTCTTTAGTGTTTATTGTTCTGTCAAACAACTTTTTTGTGTCAGTTAAGCCTTTTTTCCTCAAGCTGATGTTAGTCAATGGTAGGGGGGAAAAGAAGCTAATGTCTAATGGTTCTTATTCTTCAGGGTGTGTTTTTATTCAAGTTGTCTTACCCATGCTTAAAATCATAATAAATTTAAATGCTCATGCTTAGACTTGCTCTTGGCATCTAACGAATTTTATGCATATTGCAACATTATTATATACTTATATGGATGTCGATCTATATAATCATAGAGCACTCAACCCATATTAACTTGAAACACGTTATTTTATATTAAACAAAGAAGGCCACCAGACAAAATTTTGGGAGTTCAATATTTTCATTAATTTTCATGAAATAATCTGTAATTTTCTGTGGGGCCAAGGAGAATTACAGATTTCCATGTAATCTATCACATTACTTTAAATTTTTTATACACAGCAAAATCATTTGTGACTGTTATTTCGTATATTTCTGATTATTGAATATCATAGATTGAATTTTATTTCTACCAAAGTATAATGATTCTTTCTAGATATTTGTTTTTGCTTTTTTTTTTCCCAACATGGTCTTTTGGTGTTTCATGAAAATATTAAAAGCTTTATGGACCACATTGACTGCCCTGAAAAAAGAGATCTGAACCTCAGTGTACAAGTATTTTACCTCTGCTGTGTTTATTTCTTGATGGTGTTAAATGACCGAAAACGTCTCAAAAAGGAAACATGCCAAATAAAGTCACATTTCGGTCTTCTTTTCATTGTAGCATATGGATTCCTTCAAATGACCTGTCTTCTTACAATTAGGCTCACTAATGACTTCATCCTTCTTTCTATCAGTATTTTCTGTGGCTGATAAAGGGCAATTATTTTTCTCCACAAAAAATTGAAAGATTAGCGTAGGAAGCATCTCAAAAAAGGGTATATCTTAAAGTATGCATGTGTAGTTTGTAGACAATATTTGCTTTCGACAGTGCACTGAACTTTTGCAATACAGAGTTCTTATGCCATCAAAATGACAGGCCCTTTCTTTGTTTTTTTTTTGGTCAACCGACGGGTCCTTTCTTTATGTTAACAATATATATCAATATTAAAAAAAAAAGCCAAACAAACTACATGTTTTCAAAACCTATCCACCTCGTTCTACTATTTGAATTTGAAGGTTACCTATTGATTTTGTTGGAGGCGTATCACTTGAAGTCAAATAGTTAGGCATGTATAAAAGCACATGAGAAACAACTTTATCCTTTCCAAGCACTTCATCTTTTTTTTTTTTGTGGTTTCAAATTGTTTACCACGTAACTTTCTCTCAATTCTAATTTCCATTTGTTTTCTGATATTTCACCCTCTTTAGTTCTGCATTATATTCATTATGTTCTATTCCTTCCCTGTGCATATAGCAGCATATATAGCCGGCCTTGATGATCTCCCTCATCCTCGCTCACTGATGTAAGTGTGTATAACCATAGATTAATATGTGTCAAAGAATCGAATAGGCCTTGATGATGCCCGTCATACTCAAACCTGTCCATGGGAAAAGCAACATGGCTAACTTATGTATTCAATGACTCGTGAAAAGTCAGCTGGCGGTGTCAAAAGTTCTTTATGTAGGTGTCATATGATATTCCAAATAAGAACAACACATCTTCAAAAGTTGGACTGCCTATTAATACATTCATGTTTTTGGGATCTATAGATATCAAGTATGACTTATCTCTTTTGTTAAAGACGCATTCTTCAATTGAAGATGTCTATAAAAGGTCGCAAGACTAGAGCAGTGCACGTATGGAGGCATTCTGGCTGTAACATTAAGCCTATAAAACAGGGCAAAAGTTGATGACACTGCAAACTGAAAGCTGTTTTTTATGTTTCTTCTTTTTAGGTCAACGAAAAGAAAGTCATCTTTTCCTTTTCATCATGTTTGCTGTCAATTTAAGAGGAAATGAATACTTATTAACTTGTCATAGTTATTACTCCAAATATTATTGTATAGTTTTGCCTATTTTCAAGTAATTATGTTACTCTATTATTTGAACGTGATAAATCCCAATTATCTTGAGCAAATCACTGAAAAACTTAAAGTGCAAGCATGTTGTGCCAAGAAAATTAGAAAGAAATTAAAGTTGTGGTGTGATAGATTAGTATAGGGATCATCTAAATGGTATAATTAATGTAATTGGAGTTAAATATATTTGGTTAGAGTTTATATTTTAATGAATATAACTTTTAGTTCAATATATAATAAATATATTAAGACTAAATTTTGACATAATAAGCTGAGAATTTTCGGACCTACAACTATAATTTCATTAGGATTTTACATTTAAATGTGAAAACATTTCATGATTTTTTATTTTATTTTTTGCCAACAATTATTAGTATTATTAATTGGCTACAAACAATAATAAGTAGTTAATAATAAATTAAGTTTTAACCCAAAAAAATAGAAAATTAAGATAAAATAATTTTATATCTTTAAGCTCCTTGTGCATCACATGGGTGATACAGGAGTGTGAAATAAAGATAAAAAAGAAGGCATGGATTTAATCAAAGTTCCAAATTAAAAGAAGGATGAGAGAGAAAATAACACTTAATCATAAGTGTTTGAATTTGAAAAAGGGTCAAAGAGGATATTAAAAAAGCTTTGATTTATTCCCTCCCTCCTCAAATATAATACTCTCTTTCTAATTTTTAGTATATTTCATTTGGTTTTTAATATTTGATATTTTTACTATTTGACGTACTTTAGTATTAGGTTGGAAATGAATGCTTCCCGTGCAACGCACGGGGAGCACAAGCTAGTTATTCATAGTAAATTTGACCCGGATTTCGGTTCGGAGGCGGAGTCTGGTGCACTGTGCACGTCAGGTGCCGGGTGCGAGAGAACCGAATTTACGGAGGTGATATATGGAGGCGCGGTGACGGGAGTGGATTCTGCGAGAACCAAAACAGTTTTATTAAATTAAAATTATCATCCAAAATCCGGTAGTTCTTACACTTGGGGAACTTGGTCCCAAGGTTAGTCTGCTTATTCTTTGCTTCAGCATTTTTTCCCTCGCCATGTAGCTTTTCTCTTCAGTACTCATCCTGATTCACGTGTTTCCCTCTGCAGCTATTTCTTTAGAATTCCCAATGGCGTACCCGTCACTCTTCTAACATTTGAACAGGTTTGTTTCCCTTCTGCTTTTCATTTCTGTTTTGCCTGATTTGTGGGATTCCTTTAAAACTTGTTCCGTTTTTTGTTATATTCTCATTGGAGGTCCGAGCAATCGCTAGACTCGGTCTGTTAGCTTTTCTCAAATTTATATACCTCTTCATGGGTGTTATGGAAGCATTTTTAACGGATTAGAATTCAGTATGATAATTCTTTGTAATTCAACTGACACGACCATTTTATCACAAAATGGATAATGGGAATGCGAGCAAAGGATATTAAATTTCCCCTTTTTTTCTAACTGACACGAGACATCAACGTTTTAGCCCAAGTAGTTTTGATTGACACCTGCATGTTTTGAATTTTGATTTTGAGAGTGCCATTTATGTTGTTTTATCATCTGGCAGTTACGATCTTTAACCCACGACACCCACTTTTATCCTGGAGTTGGCTAGCCACTTGGTCTCGTTTCTACTGGATAGGAGCTTTCTCTAATGAGAGGTAGGAGGGATTTCAAAGCATGCGGTCAAGTCATGGTATTTCAAAGAACTCGTGATATCTCCAATCTTGTCAATAAATTTGAATTTTTTTGGGTTTAGCTCTCCTGTTGCAACTTAACATATAATTGCAAATCGACCCAGGAACAGAATTGAAATGGTGAAGTTTATTTGCTTTAGTTGTTATTGTTGAATTGAGTATAGATAGTCAAAATTTATATTCCTAGGAATATTATTTTGGGTGGCATTAAAAAAAAAAAAAGGAACATTTTTTAGACTAGGAGCTAATTATTAGATCTTATTGTGACTCAGGCAATGTAAACATGAGAGTTTGCTCTCCTGTTTGTTTATCTTCAATTAATGCCATTGTCCTGAAAGGTCGCGCAAATCTGCTACTAAGCAGCAATACCTGTGGTCTTTCGTCCCAAGGAAAGTGTGGTTCATGTTCCATCCATTTGTCCCCTGGGAAATCTGAGTTACGACATGTTGGTTTTTCTGTTTATACAACATCGTCTTGTGCAACTATTATGGGCCAAACAATCAGGGGAGGTTGCTTGGGATCTTGCTTCTCCAAGCAAAGGGACAACGTTCAAGTCCTGGGCTCTGTAGGACCTCAGAGGAGGAATCTTGAAGTGTCGTTGGCTTGCCAAAGTTTGAATATGAGGCTTTTGGTACCTAAACAAAAGCTGCTTCCTAAAGCCAAGTGTAAGGTGGGACCAATAACTTGGCCACATGGATGTGCATCAGCTGGCTTGATTTTTGGATTACTTGTTTGTAATTCAAGTTCCCAACCCGCGCATTCTGAGACAGATACAGAGAATGGGAGAACGGAAGATGACTGCAGTGAGCCATCCGTGAAATTCTCACATGGGAAGGAAGTTTACACTGACTATTCTGTAATTGGTGAGCTGCACATTCTTTCTACGAATAACGTTTTGCATTCTGATGGCATAGATATACATGGTGTAGTTGGTCACATAAAGCAATGCAATTACATGTTACATAAATTGCACACACACATGTACATAGAAATAATTACAGATATAAAATTAACTTTGATATTTATTAATTGCGTTATAAACTTTCCATGTTGTGAAGGAATACCTGGAGATGGACGATGTTTGTTCCGTTCTGTTGCTCACGGGGCTTGTTTGAGGTCCGGAAAACCTTCTCCAAGTGAAAGTTTTCAGAGAGAGCTAGCAGATGAGTTACGAAACAAAGTATGTTTTTTGTCACTTAATTTGTTGGCATCACCCTAATAAGCTTACAATCTCCCTTAGCTCCACCCAAAGAAAAACACCATGCATGATTGAGCACACATATTTCCTGATGAATAGTTTTGGTCTCAAATAAATATTATTCTTGAATCAGTTCACAGTATTACATGTCTTGACAAAATTAAAATCTCCTTTTCATATAAGTCTGAAACCATGCTGTTTGTGTTCTTCTGGTGCCTTTTTGCTCCCATCAATTCTTCAGCTGCCATTGTTCCTGATTTGTTTCATTTTTCTGTTACATTGGTCAGGTTGCTGATGAATTTGTCAAAAGAAGGGAAGAGACAGAATGGTAGGCTTTCAAGTTACATATCCGTAGATAGTTGTGATTCCAACACACGGAATGCCTTTTACACACACACACACACTGAAGACCGATAACTTTCGCTGTGTTTTTCTCTCTGCCAATGTCACGAAGGAACATGTGTTCCCGATTAGCAGAAAAAATACAGCAGGTTGATTTAAGTAGATGAGTTATGCATCACCTTCTGGCGGATTAGGTCTGTCTCTAGTCTTTGTTTTCAAAAGTTAATAATAATTAGAGTAGGTCTTGTTTATTGCATGGATTCTTAGAACTGAGTTGCTATGTTTATGTCTCATGAGTGGTATAGCTTGTTAGAATTTTTATATTCTATATAGATGTGCCATATTAAACTATTTATGTTTGAAATCAGTGATGGTTTTCGTTGATTGATGTATCAAGAGGATGTCATTTGATGCCTGAATGAGAATGTGAAATTGTTAAACTCATACCATTATGATCCAATGGAATGATTGTCTTCTGATGAAATAGGATTTGGTTGTCACATGATATCTCAGGTTTGTTGAAGGTGATTTCGACACTTATGTTTCCCAAATTAGGAAGCCCCATGTGTGGGGAGGTGAACCTGAACTATTCATAGCTTCGCATGTTCTGCAGTTAGTGCCCCTCTCTCTTGAACCAGTTATTCAATCTTTGTACGTTTGTGAACTTCACAATTTTGGATGTTGAACTAATACGAGGCCAATTCTGCAGGATGCCAATCACAGTGTACATGTATGATAAAGATGCCGGTGGCTTGATATCTATTGCTGAGTATGGACAAGAATATGGCAAGGAAAACCCGATCAGGGTTCTCTACCATGGCTTTGGCCATTATGATGCATTAGAGATTCCTGGAAAGAAGGGGCTTAAGTCAAAACTCTAGCAGTTTACATGCACCTTGCAAATATAATGAAGAGGAGCATATTATACTCTCTACATTTCACATTACAACAACAGCTAATTGTTTTATTTTAGTTAAACTTGAGACAATCAACATGGGAATAAACATTTTTTTCTGTTAAACTAGACGAATGACAGTGTAGGCAAAGACAATGTAATGTTATATAGCGAGTTGGGCCCAGGCCTGAGGACAAATACTTGAGGCTTGTTGGCTTTAATATATTAGATGCAGTGGTGCACAGCCAACAAAATGGCCGCAAGTTGACCCAAAAATAAGTCGCCACAATGTAACATTGCGTACAAAATGATGTTTAATTTCCTGCTACAATATATAGTAATGATTATAAAGATAAACTTCTAGGGCTTCCTTACGGTGATCCCTCTGATGTCCTGTGGATTATGGTCCCTGGAGGTCATGGTATGCACTCTGCTTTCGTGGCAAACTGATCAGTGGTGCTGAAAGGCTGAAAGCACATGGCTGCTTCAAACTTTTTATAAAATGGACTTTTGAGGTGGGCCCACAAAGCTCCAAAGTGTTTGTTAGTTGGTCTTTCGGTGAAAGTTAAAATAGTGGGGGGTTAGGAATGCGAGGTGGCCCTAGTGTTGTTTCCTGTTCTTTTCTTCCTTTTACTGTTCCATTGTCCTTCTACTCACTAACCCCGTTGGCTTCTAATGAACCTTCCACTCTGAACTTCTTGTCTAATATGATTAAATTGTAAGAGACCTTTGACTATACCAACAATAATAGCAATTGGAGGGTAAAAAATCACGACTTGTGATGAGATAATGATTCTGCGACCTAAACTCCAGCAAGAATAATGAGGGTTGGGAAAGCCTTGGATCCAAATGGGACATGGATCATTAGTGGGTTAGTTGTGCTCTAATTAAATTAAGATTGCAATCATGTTCAGGGAACAGTCAAACGAAAAGTAGTAGCAGCAAGGAGCGAGGTTTAGAGTTTAGAGAGGAGTAGGCAGTATTTGGATTTTCAATGGGTGTTTAGATACCCAAATAATCACTGTGCAGAAATATTTTTTTATAAATCGAGACAAATTCTTTATATATTTATTTCGTATATTGTAAAAACTCTTCTGAAACCATAGTTTTAATCTTACCAAACATTCTTTATTTGCCTCTTGGCCTATCAGGAAACATTGGGATTTTAGCTCAAAAACTGTGGAAGGGGATCAAGCAGAGCACGTGACTCAAAAAAATTTCTAACCATTTGAATGAAAGCAGCGGTTGTTGGATCCGTGAAGCAGTTGTTTTTTTTTGGGGTCTGAGAAGGAAGCAGTGTTGTTTAATGGCAAAACTGAAAAAGTGAAAGGAGAGTCACAAGCATGTTGTCCTTGTTATATGATTTTCTGACACCACGCACTATTTATGAGATTTTTTTTTAAAAAAAAAAAATGGCTAGAAACAAAACAAGTCGCCCCCTGTGTGGTCGACTCAGTCCGTTGGTATCTCTATCTCATGCCGCAGATATCGGGTTTTTGTCATTTATTTTCTTGGCCTTTTTTTGGCTTCAAATTATTACTGTATTTTAAATCATAAATAAACAGAAGGGTGTAATATACAATTTTTTTCTTTGCAAAAATGCCTAGGGTTTAGTTATGCCGCCGATTACTTGAAAGTAGAGCTATTTTTACTCATCACTCTGCTTAGATGAAAGTAAGACAAAGAAGAAAAGTATAACAAAATCAACGTATCAACATAAAGTTTATATTAAATCTCACATTTACAGATTATAAATGTTACTTGCTGCCTCCATATCGAGCTTACTACATACCACTGACATGCCTTCTAGAAAATCTGGCAAAAAAAAAAGGGTATACCTTCTACGAAAGTGATCTTAAAAAATTCCCAACAAATCCTTTTCAAACATTTTGTTTTACCTCAGAAAAACAAAAGTGACTCTTATGCATATCTACGTGGCACGTAAGACATGTAAGGAGCGCTAATATTTGAAAAATATATAGAGTACATACTAATTTGTTTTTTTTACCAATACTTATTTGTCAACTCTTTAAATTTTATTTAAATAATTAAATATGTAAATAAATAAGAATAAAATACATGAAGCTTAAAACATAGATGAGTATATTGAAAGAAAAAAAAAGGGAAATTCAAATTACCCAGAGTTTGAGCCTCGGCTCTCTATGGAAAGAACGCTGCTTATTTGCGAATAATAATAATTAAAAAAGAAAGTATGTCGAGGACAGGATGGTCAGAAAAATTCAAACTGTAATGCCACCTCGAAAACATCCCTGCGACAAAATTCAAATGCTAGGCCATCTTCTTCATCTTGAACTCCACACTCTGCAGCCAATCTGTGACGCCTTCTTTCTAAACATGCTTGCAAAATGATCCATTAACATTCCCAGCTTTTTATTTTAATCCCCACTTGAAGAATGGAAATGCATCTTCCTCTCCACATAGCTTCCATTCTCCTGTGCTTCTTAGCTTCTTTCACCTCCTCCTTGAACTCCGATGGCCTCTCTCTACTCGCCCTCAAAGCCGCCGTTGAGTCCGACCCTTCCGGAGTTCTCAACTCGTGGTCCGACTCTGACTCCACCCCATGTCGCTGGGCTGGGGTCGCCTGTGCCCATGACCGAGTCACCCAGCTCGTCCTGCCCAACAAAGGCCTGACGGGTTACCTTCCATCTGAACTTGGTTTGCTCGACTCGCTCAGGCAACTCAGTCTTTCGCACAATAACTTCTCCAAGGCCATTCCTTCCCGCTTGTTCAACGCGACTGGCCTCCTCCTTTTAGACCTCTCTCATAATCTCCTCTCTGGTCCCATTCCAACTGAGATCAGGTCTCTCAAATCTCTCAGACATTTGGATTTATCCTCAAATTCCCTCAATGGCTCTCTCCCTGAAGCTCTATCCGAGTTCACTAACCTCGTTGGAACCTTGAATCTCTCTTACAATCACTTCTCGGGTGGGATCCCGGAGGCTTTGGGGCGACTCCCTGTGATAGTCAGTTTGGATCTCCAGAACAACAACCTGACAGGCAAAATTCCTCAAGTAGGTTCGTTGCTAAACCAGGGTCCTACAGCTTTCTCCGCTAACCCCGGCCTCTGTGGGTTCCCTTTGCAGAATGCATGCCCAGAAGCTCAGAATCCCGAGAATTACCCAAGCAACGAAGACCCTGAAAACCCAAACACCGTTAACCCTGGGTTTCCAGCGGGATATCAAGAAGCGAAGGCGAAAGAGCGAAGTCGTTCCATCATCGTCCCTATAATTTTTGGCGTCTCCTTGGCAGCGGGGGCCGTTTCGTTGTCAGTGTGGCTGTTGCGCAGACGACGGACGGTTGATTTGAGCAAGTTAGGGAAGCAAAAATTAGACAATGAGGCCAACGAGGAAGGAGGTGAAGGGCAAAAGGGTAAATTCGTGATCGTAGATGAAGGGTTCAGTCTGGAACTAGAGGATTTATTAAGAGCATCCGCATATGTAGTGGGAAAGAGTAAGAGTGGGATAGTGTATAAGGTGGTAGCTACTGGGAAAGGGTCGGGCCCGGCGGCGACTGTGGTGGCCGTCCGGCGGTTGAGTGAGGGTGATGCCACCTGGAAGCTAAAGGAGTTCGAGGCTGAAGTGGAGATCATTGGGAGGGTCAACCACCCTAACATCGTCCGCTTACGAGCATATTACTATGCAAGTGATGAAAAATTAATTATCACTGACTTCATCCGCAATGGAAGCGTGCACACTGCCCTTCATGGTATCAAATTTCTCAGCCGTTGGTTGTTTATTTTTAATAGCGCTGGTTCTCTCTTAATTGAATCATCAAACTTTTTTCGGTCAGTAGTTACCTTCCTTCACTATGTACGTGCTATATGCCAGTATGTGTGAGGTGAGATCATTTTTAAGGCAATAGGTTTATTTCTCTTCGTACTTTTTGTTACACTAGAAGATTAAATGTTCTGGGAAGTTCAGCATTAGCATTTAGTACTTTCTAGTTGACTAATTTAAATAGACGAAGAAAATTAGTAAAATTATTTATTTGTAATAAATAGTTGTTATTTTTCTTAAAATACTTTTTTTAATTAGAATTATCATTTGATGAAACTTTTAATATATACAACTATTACAAAGACTATCTTGAAAAAAAAAGATAAATATGAGATAAAATGAATTAAAATTTAGGTATAAGATGAAAATGAATGTCAATCTGACCCTTATATTAAGTAACAGAGATAGTATTAATTGTAATGAAACTTTAGGTTGATAATCATGTGCTGTCTCTTGGTTTGGTTTTATGGTCACACCATGAAGTCAATCATGAATTCAAATTCCATTTTTTACTTTAAAAGAGCTAATAATGTGGTCATGTGATTGTTATCATGATGGTTTGTAAATGTGGAGGAGCTCGTGAACTAAAGCTGTTTTAATTCTCACATTCTGGTGTTATTTTCCTGTCCCTATCTTATTTGTTGTGCACTGCATATTTTGAGCCATCGATCATCTTGTTCTTAAATGAATATTGAAAAAACATTGAAAAATAGGGATAATAATGTCATTGAAAAAAATTTTTAAAAAAATATTTGGCATAAGTAATTGATTGTTACATAGAATGAGTCAAAATCATGGAGTTGGGATTGGAGAATACCATCTTCTCTCATAGTATTCCCAATTTTATATATATGAGTTTGTTCAATTCTATATAACAAGCAATCTCTTTGAATAGATTTTTTCAATCCAAATCCCAAGTACCTTTTATTTTCATTGCTTTGTAAATGTACCAAACAGGACCTAAGTGGCTGTTGTCCATGATCATACAATAATATGACTTGGTGCTGTTACACCTTGGGTGTCCCTACCATGGTTCCTGAATAAATGGACCCTTTTTTGTGGTCCAACCCTGTGTGGATGGTGACAACTGCCAAAAATCTAACCTTATGATTCCGACCCCATTCTGGTGACTGGAGAATTCATGTCTCCAATACACTCGTCTTTATTCCCTGTTGATATGCCATGGATTGTGAACCGCTAGCGGTGGTTGTCTTGCAGTGAGTGAGTCAGTCCACGCTCCTTCCACCTTTTTCTGAATGCCATGCTAGTGAACTGGTGGTCCATTAGAGTAAAAGATTTCTGTTTTGTCTTTCTTTTTTTGGGGAAAACAATGGGGAAAGTTAAACTCTGATGATAATGGTCGTGAGGTCACTTTCAGCATTTACTCTCCACTTGAAAGCTCTGTTTGAAGGTTTTTCCTGCTGCATCTGGTGTTTTTCGGTTGCAGGTGGACCTTCCAATCCTTTGCCGCCATTAACATGGGCAGCAAGGTTAAAGATTGCTCAAGGAGCTGCGAGGGTTTAATGTACATACACGAGTTCGGCGGTCGAAAATACGCGCATGGCAACCTTAAATCCACAAAAATCTTGCTGGACGATGAACTCCATCCTTTCATATCTGGCTTTGGACTTACTCGCCTCATGTCGAGCTGTTCAAAGTCCACAGCAATGGCACCAAAGCGACAGAATTCAAAGCAGTCTATTGCAACCTCTGCAATAGCAGCTTCCCAAAACAATTACTTGGCACCAGAGGTTCGCTTGAGCGGAGGCAAATATACTCAGAGTGGATGTGTATGCTTTTGGGATAATTCTGTTAGAACTATTGACAGGACGAAGGCCGGATTCGGGAACGGAGAAAGAGGGCGAAGTACTGGAGAGTTTTGTGAGGCAAGTATTCCGGGAAGAGAGGCCCTTGTGCGAGATTATAGACCCTGCACTTCTGTCTGAGGTTTACGCTAAGAAGCAAGTAGTTGCAGCATTTCATCTTGCACTGAACTGCACAGAACAGGACGCAGAGTTGCGGCCCAGAATGAGAACAGTGTCGGAGAGCCTTGATGGGATAAAGGCACCGTGAAATTTTTTTGTTAAGGTGGCTTGGTTTTGAGGTTGGATTGGTGTTGAATCTTGCAAGATGCTTGGACTTAGGAGTAGGAGCAGCTAGATGTAGCTGGTGTTATAAAAGCCCATGCAATGCATCGTCTCTGTTGTAGTAAAGCAGTGGAAACTGGAAATTGCGTATCTTTGGTTGCTTATGTTTTTTGAATTTGAAACTGCAGGGCGGGACCATGGGAGCTGAAATCATCCCTTTTAACACAAATGGAATTGTCTGACTCTGACAATGTCAATAATTAATATGAGAATCAGGCCACAAATCCGGTCCACTGGCTTGCTTAATCATTATCAACCACCCAGGGGAACGAGTTTCAATGATATACAGGTACCATGATATTCATCAAATCTTAACCGTTCAATTTATGAATAATTAAGATTTTAATTTTTTTTTTTTGGGAAATTTTTTTTTATATATGGAGGTACATAATCCAGAATAATGTAATTTTTTTATTGTAGGTTTTTTTAAAAAATAATTTTTTATTTAAATTTTATCAGTTGAAAATTTTAAATACAGCTTATTAAAATTGTATTTGACTTGTGTAGATTTTTACTGCAGTGATAAGTATCATAGTTTTTACTATTGTAATATGTACTGAAACTGGTTTTCAGATTATGTTAGTCTTCGAGGCGGATGGTTATGTTTTAATAAGTAAATGAGACGCCCAACATATTTGAAGAGGCGTAGGCCTTGAAGAAAGGAGTGAACACCAAGAGTCATGTCGTTCGGTCGCGCCGGCCCCAAGATGGCCCATACGTAATCTAAAATTAAAAATGATTAGATAAAATTTGGAAAAAATTCCAAAAAAGTGATAGTTGAATTTTAAATTTCAAATCAGTATTGGTTACTATACTCGTAAAAAAATGATTACATTTGAAAATAAATGACAACATATTTTTATAATAATTTCTGATTTAAAATTTTGAAATTTAACAATATATTTTTTAGGATTTTTATTAAAATTTAACCTTTTTCTTTTGGAAAAAAAGGGCAAAAGTAGGACGGGGGCTTGCCTTTTTGGTTACTAACATCTTTAAAGAAAATGATTACATTCAAAAAATAAATGACA